GCAGTAAGGAGTGTATTTCAGACTTTTTTAATGTGACCATCGTAATTTTCGTGTCATTTAACCTCTAAAAAGTCTATTCGCGCGGCTGTATCTCTTGCATGCAACAGGCCCATTATACAAAGTAGGGTGAATCGATGTTAAACAAAATAAAGTGTGAACTTTGTAACAGGAAAACTCATGCTAAGGAGAAAGAACAAGACAAATACTGGAGAAATACATTTACCGGACGGAAACTTTAGCATTAATCATGACTTTCCATCTATAAAAAATTTACAGCCAGTAAAATGGTTTTGAAATGCGTCTTAAACAAGTTAAAAATTGAAAAAAGATTGGGAAAGTTTCGATTACTTATACAGGTTGTTAAACAAAAATCATGGGCTATCATGTACCGTTTTCGGAGAATTTAAAGTCATCGGCTCAAAGAAAATATTCAAAGAAAGTCGTAATGTGGTCAGTTTAATAAAAATACACGATACAGTATAAATGATAAAAATAAAAAGGAACTTTCAAGATTAAAATCACATAATTAAAAAGAAACTTCAGGGAAACTGTATACTTTTTCTTCTTGGACACCAAACTCTCACGGAGCCTAAACACCGAAACCGATACGTTGTTCCTTTTCTCGATTTTGACAAGAGATCATCTATGCTCGTGGGGAATCGAACGTCCGAGAAATCGTAATGATTAGACAGATCTAAATATTTTACTAGGCGTTGTTTATCATTCGCATCTCTCGGGAGGAACTTTCCCAACATTGCGTACCGGAAACAAGCCTTTAATTCACCGTTATTTACGTTAACAACATTGTTGGTGCGAAACGGAAGCTTAACGTACGTTCCTCCTCGATTTAAAGCGTAATAGCGGTTGACACGTAGATCCATACCCTGTATCTTCTTTAGCACCCACCCGGATCCGTCCATGTGAAAATCGAATGACTCTTTGTTGATCTTGGCCCTGAACTCTTCATAATACTCGTCCAGATCCGTTGACGCGAAAATAACTTCGTTTATAGTCTTACGCTTTTTCAACTGCATTCCTTCCTTGTCCCTATCATCAGCTTTCTCGTATTCAGCGTAAACTAGTATATTTACCTTCAATGCCTCGCCGGTGAGTTCTTCTAAGATTTTCCAATCACGAGGTC